AGCCCCACCCGACACGCACCGGAGGTGCGGCTCTCTGCATGTCGGTCCTCTTTGGCTAAAGGCTAACAGACGTTCGGGAGGCCATCGTGTGCGGAGCTAAGCGAATCCAGCAAGTGTTGTCGATGTTGTCGCTTTTGCTGATGCTTTGTAACACGTGGCCGACGCTGTGACTAACTCTTGAGCTAAGGAGTCATTATCCAGGGGATCGATATTTTTGGAGGTCATAATAATAGATACACCTGCACTATGAGTACATCCGGAGTGTTCGTCAATCCCGAAAGCCGGAAATATGCTGAATTCTCAACTCATTCAGTACCAGCCAATTCTGGACCAAGTCTGAAAAGACGTTTTTGTATTAGAGCTCCAGATTTTTTTCCCAAGATGATTTTGCAGGTGTATCTAATATTGTGACTCTACATACACTCGTAATGCTTCTTGTATTTGTACAACCTGATGTGGAGACCATGACGACGCAGTAGCAATTTCGCAGCATCAACTGTCCGCCTAATGCTGACTCTTGGACAAGTCCGGGAATTATCTCATCCTTTGCTGAAGTTTGCTCATGTGCAAAGACATTTCTGTGACGTTTACGGGTCGACAGAAGATTACCCAAAATGTGGGGGCGAAAAAAAAACGTGCATTTTATTTAGTGAAAGAAGTATTTGAAAGTTCAGTGAGAATGCAATACCAGAACGAGAGAGAGAGGGACAAGGTCGGTCTCTCTTATCCTTGCAATTAAACAAAATATTATTAGAGGTTAGAATGAACGCCAAATACGTTTTAGTTGTGCAAAGGCCATCAAAAATATTGTTTTGTCGCCATCGCATGTCATCTTAAGGTAACGGAATAATGGTCCAAGTGATTTGAGGAGCTTCATTTCGACAAAAGCAGTGCTTTGCCAGCAATTTGAGGAGCTTCATTTGGCTAAAAGTAGTGCTTTGCTCCCATCCTGTGGCATCTATAATTTGTTAGGGGGAAAAAAAATTATAAAATATTGGAAATTGTCGCGTTTATGTCATGTTTTTTTCGATTATTTGTGAGTGGAGCCAGAGTGGGACCACATTTATCACATCGCTTTTAACTTTGTAAACATGTTAAAAAAGGAACCTCGGTTTACCGACGTGCTTTGCTCCCATCCTGTGGCATCTATAATTTGTGAGGGGGGAAAAAAATATAAAATATTGGAAATTATTGTCGTGTTTATGTCATGTTTTTTTCGATTATTTGTGAGTGGAGCCTCAGTTAACCGATGAATTGAAACGCGTTCATTTGAAGCATGTGATGCCCG